GAATATGAAACTGTGGATTTTGTTTTGAATTTTGATTGGTAAGGATGTGAGAGGGACCTGGAGAAGGGGCTAGTGCAGCCCTCAACCCCAGGAGCTCTCTCGGAGCCGCCATCGTCACCTCACCCGTCGAGGCCGGCTCTTGTGTTCTCCAATTCCAGCAAGTCTCTGCTGGGTTCGAATTCAGGCAAGGCCCTGCTTCTTTCGAATTCAGGCAAGGCCCTGGTTGTTTCGAATTCCAGTAAGTCTCTGGTGTTGTCCAATTCCGGCAAGCGCATTGATCAGTTGGGGAAGAAGAAGTATGTGAAGCAGGTGACCGGCCGCCACAATGACACGGAGCTCCACCTGGCTGCACGCCGCGGTGATTTGGCAGCTGTGCAGCAGTTTCTGGGGGAGATTGATGCCCAGATGGTGGGTTCTGAGTTTGATGAAGAGGTGGCTGAGATAAGGTCTGCCATTGTGAATGAGGTGAATGAGTTGGGAGAGACGGCCCTTTTCATTGCGGCCGAGCAGGGGCATCTTGGTATTGTAGAGGAGCTTTTGCCCTACATGACCGAGGAGGGCATTTCGTTGAAGAATCAGGTCGGGTTTGATGCGTTGCATATTGCTGCAAATCAAGGGCAAAAAGGTAATCATAAGTCAAATAGTTTCAGCCAAACTTTGTAATGTTGTTGTTGCTGTTGATTCAGTTAAGGGTTGAAATGGAATGCATTATTGTAATTTTCAGACCTCATCTGGAAAGTTTAAGGGGTAGGTAACCAGAATTGATGTTAATGTTCATCGCTGGTCAAACAAAAGACCACAGCTGTTTTGCATTCTCAGTGGATTATTTGAGTCTATATCTTGTTCTGGTGCTTAACTATTGATACTGTAGGCAAACATGATAGATAATTAATCCTCACTAGAGTCGGAATAGTGTTGTGTTGTGTCCATTTCAGGCATGGCTCCTTTTGAGAAGTTCATTTCCTGTTTCATTCTAATTCATCCAGTGTGGGCCTTTTCTGCTCCTTTATTGATGATTATTCATAATCAAGTCTTGACACTGCTCGCTACTTGCTTGTCTTTTGGTTCTGCTTTCCAGTTTCTTTTGGTTTAACAGATAGTAAAATATTTAAATACCATGTCACCTCAGTTCAATAACTCGCTTTATGCAGCCATTGTCCAGGTGCTGTTAGACTATGACCCGGGGCTTAGCAAAACAGTTGGCCAGGCAAATGCTACCCCTCTTGTATCTGCAGCTACAAGAGGGCATACAGCAGTCGTCAAAGAATTACTATCAAAAGATCCTAGTTTGCTGGATGTTTCTAAATCCAA